CTCGTTGTTCCTTTTTCTCTTCCTTCTTCTTCCTTTTTTCTCTCTCTAAAATATACTACGTGATTATTTTTCAGCCCCTTTTACAACCCTATAGTAATATATTTATAGGCAAATAAGATAGCCCTGATCATTTTCCCAATCCAAGTATAATTAAAAAAAATATAACTATCAATGGGTAACTATCTGTACCCATTTAACCTCCTATCCAAGTAGTCCATGTGACCCAATTAGTTGATCCACTACTGCCTTCCATATTCAAATTCTTTAAAAATAAAAAAAAATAAAAATTAAATAATTAAATTCCTAAACAAATACACATCATCACATACAATTTATTTTATTCAAAGAAATCGAATACAAATAATTTTAGCACATAATTTAATTTAAACAAATAATTCAATTAACACATAAATAATTAAATCAATTAAACAAGTAAACAATTAGCCAAGAAATCAAATAAATAATTAAAAATACAATTAAAACATATAAATAAATACCGAGACTATCCTTTTAAAATTAGGAGTATTATATCAGCTTTACTATAACAATCTAACAGCAATCCCAAACGGGCTCTAATTTATAGGTAAATTATACTCACATCCATTTATCCTCGTATACAAGTTAGTTTCTTTTTGAATAATGCTATCCTATGTGAGAAACTAAAAATATGAAGAAAAAAAAATGATATTGCCTTCAAATATTTAATTGATTTTAGTTACTCCGCTTGTCCCAAAAAGAATGCCGACATTTATTTCGAAACAGAGGTGGAGAATAAAAGGGATTTTTACATATAAATGTACTTATGGACCTATATTTACAATATTGTGTAGTCAAAGTCCTATAGTGTCTAAAAAATGAAATTGACCAAATTAATGATGTGGACATGAACTTTTACTATTTACTATAGTTTCTTGTCCAAAATAACCTTTCACTGTTTGAACCAAATTACCATGCTACCCCCATTTCATTAATTCACCCAAACAAAGCCCTTAAGGCAATTTGGCTCAAACAGTGATTGACCACTATCTCCCACAATGGTTCACCTAACCACCAGTTGGGCTAGTGATTGCTCATAATGAAGGTCACACCAGTGTGTGGATTAACAAAATTGTTGTTGATGATTCCATGAAAAGCAGGGTATAATCCAGTTACAATTGAGTAATGGTTTTTGAATGTTTGGGTTGGGAACACCAGAATCAAACCCGTTTGAGCTTCGGTCCCGTTATTAATCAGGCAATGAATGTGGGGCGTCGGGGTCTTGAATTGGTACCCAAATTGAAACCCATCTGATGAAATCAGGAGAACAACTGGGTGGTTGAGTTTGGTGAGAGGACGAGCAAAATTTTCAATTGATCCAGAGGTTTGATTGGGGTGGGATTGAGATTGAGATTGAGATTTAGTCGGAGAAGAAAAGGAAGACGAAGGAGACAGCGGCGGAGATAGCAACGGAGGTGGTGAGAATGAGAGAGATGATGATGATAGCGGTGGTGGTGGATTTGGAGGGGGGTTGAGGAGGTGTCAGTGTTGAAGAAGAGAAGAGCTGCGGTTTGATTTGGTGGATCTTCTTCTTCGTGGGTTTTGATTGGTGTTGGCTTATTATTATTTGAGGCCAAGATAGAGAAAGAATCAGAACTCATGGAGAAAGAGAGAGAGGTCGCCTTCCTCAATGGGTTTAGAGATTTCAAGATTCTGTGAACTATGTTGTGTTTTACTCTTTCAAAAGAATCTGTGATCTTCTTCTGGGTTATATATCGTTATCGTGCAGAGGAAGAGGGAGAAAATGGGGTGGATTCTAGAGAGAGAAAAGGAAAGGTTTGCTGGGCATGAACACAATTGCCCTAAAAAAATTATAGGCTTTGTTTGGGTGAATTAATGAAATGGGGGTAGCATGGTAATTTGGCGCAAACAGTAAAAGGTTATTTTGGGTAACAAACTATAGTGAACAGTGAAAGTTCTTGTCCACATCATTAATTTGGTCAACTTCATTTTTTAGAAACTATAGGACTTTGACTACATAATATTGTAAATATAGGCCCATAATTACATTTATATGTAAAAATCCCTATAAAATATGAGAACTCTAAAGAGACTTTTTGCCCTCCATCAATATAGCCCACATATTGGCGATAGATTCCCAAAAGTCCACATGCCCATTAATTTAATCTCACACACATACTCTTCTCTCTAACCTTCTCAATGATTCTCAAACCTTTTTAAGCGTCCATTCATCTCTCATCTAATAACTTCACGAACACCGAGAATACTATCAACACCACTAAAGCTCCCACGATTAGATGGTTGCATATTTCTCAGCGGTTTCAGAGACCCCGTAATCGTACACACCGTTGGCAAAAAATCATCCACCTTAAATAACCACGTTTCCGGAATCTCCACACCTTTTTTTCCACAACAACGGGTACAAAAAAGAAAAGAAAAAAGAAGTGATTATGGTGGTCGTTGCCGCCGTTTTCATCCTTGGCGTAGATTCCATTTACCACAAATTTCGACGATTTCCCCATGCGAGGGTAAAATTTGCCAAGCGGCAATAATGGGTGTGGCTAGAATTTGACCATCGTTTGTGACAAAGTTGGTGGCACCACTGATTGACATCGCCAGAGGGCAAACAACAAAAGAATTGATGATTAGTTAATAAAAAAATTGAGAAAAAGTTTGAAGGAAAGGGTGAAGTATTGGACCACGGAGAAGAGGCGGTGATGCACGCGAGGGTGGTGTTTTCGGTTGTGATTTTCTCACATACTAGAAGTTCGATTTGTTTTCTCTTTCTATAAGTTGTACTTATGGTGTCACACAGAGATATGGGATCAAAATGGACAGCAAGAAGTGAGGTTCAAGCAAGAAGAGAGGTTCATCTGCTGTTAGAGCATCTCCAACAGTTGTGTGTGTATATATATATATATATATTTCATTTTTGTGTAAATTTGATGTGTCATGATAGATTTACCAAAAAAAAAAAAAAAAAAAAAAAATTACTTTTTGTGTAAAAATATATCCCTCAATAACAACCAACTATGTGTCATTTTAGGACTTACATAATTTTTACAAACTTACTTAATATAGGGTTGATTATTTAATGTATGAGAAAGTATGGTTGAAATATACTGATATGGTTGTGTAAAAATGTTGTGTAAAATATACATACACAACAATTTTATACATTGATGACGTAGAAGTGTATCTTAACACACTAACAGAGATAAAAAAAATTTACATATCATACGTGACCGTATATATTTTACACAAGAATATTTTAACAGATTGCTGAAGATGCTTTTAGTGTGCGTTTGTGATGGTTAGTTTGTTTCCATAAAATAATATCTAATTGTTAAAAAATAATTTCATCATTCAAACACAACAACTAACAAGTAAAAGGACAATAATGTCAATTCATTATATCAGATGTGACATGTGACCAATGAAAGAATCTTTGTTAACTTTATTAAATCTCAACCGGTGTTATTGTTAAAAGATAAATCTAAAAAGTGTGAGTGTAATTTATCTTATTTTGTTATGTTGAGTACTCTAAGAGAGGTAATTGGTTTAGTTTGGTATGTATGGGATTTCCATAGGATTATATATCTACTATTTTTATTTGTAATCGTTTGGTTTTGTACCTTATTAATAAAATTAGTTTGTTTCTCAAAAATAAATAAATAAACCGGCTAGAAGAGACAACTTCTTCTGCCTCGGAAAGAGCATGACAATTATTATATTAACCAATAAATTGATTGGAGTTTGGGAGTAAAGTCATATTTGATCAAAGAAACAAATTGGCCAATTTTATTGAAGGATCCATATCCCCACCCAACAAACCTTGATTCCTAGTTGACTAGTTATAATTCATCCTGATTCGAAAAAAGATTATTTTTCTCTTCCCGTTTTGTTTTAGCAACTATATATAAACTCCTTTACTTGCTTTATAAACTGAGTCTTTCCCTATGTGTAAGGGTTTCTTAAGCACAGGTATGAAAGTAGTTGTTCAATCACATCCATGGGGAGTTGAGATTCATCAAGTGGTGAGGCAATTACCCATTGGTACTTACTACCCAGAAACTAATTATTTGTTTAATCCAAATTGCATAATTGTTTTCTAGTTGATAATTTCAAGTTTCAAGTGGTGTCACAATCACTGTGTAGTATTTTAATTATTGTTGTTGCAATTTGCAAAGTGTATCACCACGGGCTTGTAGTAAATTAACTTAATTTGGCTGATCATTCATTGATTAAGGGGCAGAAAGTTGTTAAGTCAACTGTTAAAAACTTTTAGATGTCACAGAATCCGGATCTTTTACTGCAGTGGCCCCCGCCCCTATGGTAAGGGGGGTGTATTTTTTTTGATATATTTGTTCTAATTTTCAACAAATTTATTTTGTATTTTAACACAATTTTTACTAATAAAACAAATATATTAAAACACGATTTAAGTATACTAAAACTATAAATGATGATGTTTAGAGATATCAACGATTTAAATTATGTTACAAACACATTTGAACATTTGTTGAAAACTAAAACAAATTTAATAAAAATTATTAAAGGTTATAACTTAGTGTAGTGTTTTTTTTTTTTTTTTTTTGAAATGTGTTATTTCCTCCTTATAGATAAATGTGTGAGTTTTTTTGTCCCGGAAAAAAAAAAAAAAAATTGAAGTAAAAAGAAAATAAAAAAAAAAGCAACAAACAAAAATTATTACGCATTTTACAAATGGATCACCCTGGAGCATTTCTCATTCTCTTTATTTATTTATTTTTATAAATTGGTTGTTACTTCTCCTTTCATTTTCAGTCTGTAAAATCAAAAAGTCAGAGTTCTCAAATCTCACTGCTTTATATCCTGTCCCATCAAGTACATCATGTAGTTCTATTCTTTTATCAAGGGGCATTGAATTGGTCTTCCAGTGAAGTATTCTATAAATGACCAACAACCAATATCTGTAGTGTCCACCAAAACATATCATTTGATCTGAGAAACAAAGCCCCAAAATGCTTCTGCAACTGAATCTGGTGGGAGTTGTTTTAGCAGCCATGGCAGCAACAACAAATGCTCAAGCAAAGCCAGGTTGCCAAGACAGCTGCGGCAACGTTAGCATCCCATTTCCATTTGGGACAAAACCGGGCTGCTACTACAACGACGAATTTCTCATAACTTGCAACAACACTTTCAATCCTCCCAAACCTTTTCTAACAAACAGTAGTATTGATGTCACCAACATTTCACTCCATGGCCAGCTGCAAATCATGCAGTATATAGCCCGCGATTGCTACAACAAGTCGGGTGCACAGACCGCACATAACGTGCCCTGGCTCGGGCTGTCCAAATTCAGAATTTCTAGTACCAGAAACAAGTTCACAGCAATTGGTTGCGACACTTACGCGACCATTCAAGGTTACCAAGGTAGTAAAAATTATGCCAGTGGGTGCATATCAGTATGTGACAGCATAGACTATGTTACCAACTGGTCTTGCTCTGGAATTGGTTGTTGCCAAACATCGATCCCAAAAGGAGTAGGATTTTATGAAGTGACATTGGATAGCTTTTTCAATCATACAAGAGTGTGGAATTTCAGCCCCTGCAGTTTTTCCTTTGTTGTTGAAGAGGATAGGTTCAACTTCTCCTCCAACAATCTTAGTGATTTAAAGAATGTAAACAAGCTTCCGGTGGTGCTTGATTGGGCAATCGGAAATGAGACATCGTGTGAAGTTGCAAGAAAGTCCTCAGGATATGCATGTAAAGATAACAGCAACTGTTATGAGGTTGATTATGGTTCTGGGTATCGTTGCAATTGCTCGGAAGGTTACAATGGAAACCCATACCTTCCTAATGGTTGCCAAGGTATGTATCTATCACATTCATTGTTGGGTATATATATGTTCATTGATTTTCCTTATATTACCTATAGTAATTTGTGTAATGATTCGTTTCTCTTCTATTGTCCTGCAGATGTCAATGAATGTAATGATCAAACACTTAACGAGTGTGAAAAAATTTGTGAAAATACCGCCGGGAATTACACGTGTTCTTGTCCTAAGGGGTACCATGGAGATGGCAGAAAAAATGGAAGTGGCTGCACTGCTGATCAACTACTGGTAATTAAGATTGTTCTAGGTAAGTATCTGAGCTTAATGTCCTAAAAATAAAAAATAAAAAATAAAAAATAAAAAAAGTTTCAAAATCTAACTAGTAAAATGTGTGGTCTTATTTCACTTGTTCCCATTAACTGCAATTTTAATGTCAGAGCAAATCGAATCAATTTTTCCCAAAAAAAATTTGTAGCTTAATTTATAGATTGTTAACAAAAATGACACACATATGAATTATGAAATTTTCCATTATTCCCTAGGTATGTGGTTTATGAAGGTCCTGAATCGATTAAAATAGATTGGCTAGAGACAAACAAGATCATGTGAAGATAATAAAATTGTCTAAACTGGCTATTTGCACCAGTCTGAAAGCCATGGGAGGACAACTTGAGAGTTTTATTTTAGTTTAGAGGAGCAATATACAAATAACTTCTCCAAATTATTTTGTGGAGAGATTATTTCATGCTGACAAATTGTGTCCATTGGAAAGTCATCTGCTGGCAAGTCATCATAAGCCAAAACTTTCAAGTTTCAAGACAAATTTATATAGCAGTTGGACTTGAGAGGAAAACAAATTGACTGTTTTTCATCATTACATTTCACATTTTGCGAAAAAAAAAAATCAGTCATACATTCACATTAAGGAAAGTTATCCGAGCAATAGGCAAGAGTGAAATTTAATAAATGATCAAGAGTAGGTAAGATTTAAGCTCTATATGCCTCGGTGGTTTTTCTGAGTCAAATTGCAGAACAATTTTACTTCCATAATTAATAGTACAAAGGAATTTATCAAAGTCACAATGTTTCTTTACCAAAGCTGAGAGATTTGTGTGCTTAATCCACTATTTGTAGGATGGTTGTGACAAGAATTTTTCTTCTGATTTGCAGTTCTCTGAAATGTTCCGAGTTCTGGACAATCAATGACTTAGCCAAATAGAAGTCTGAAAATTCTTTACAATAATGAATTTTCAATATTTCAAATGCAGGTATTGCAATAAGTGTTACAGTTCTACTTGTGGGTTTCACTTGGTTGTACCTGGGACTCAAGAAAAGAAAGCTCATTAGGCTCAAAGAGAAGTTCTTTCAGCAAAATGGTGGTTTAATGTTGCAACAGCAACTCTCTAGACGGGAAGGATCCACAGAAACAGCAACAATTTTCACAGCCGAAGAGCTCAAAAAGGCCACTGACAACTACAGTGATGACAGGATTGTAGGACGAGGAGGTTATGGTACAGTTTTCAAAGGAATCTTAACGGATAGCAGAGTAGTAGCCATCAAGAAGTCCAAATTAGTGGATCAAAGCCAAATAGAACAATTCATCAACGAGGTCATTGTACTCTCCCAAATCAATCACAGAAATGTGGTCAAACTTTTGGGTTGTTGTTTGGAGACAGAAGTCCCTTTATTAGTTTACGAGTTCATCACAAATGGAACTCTCCATGACCACATACATAATGAAAGTAAGAAGTCTTCACTTTCCTGCCAAACTCGTCTAAGGATAGCAGCAGAAACTGCCGGAGTACTGTCTTATTTGCATTCTGCAGCTTCGATTCCTATCATCCATAGAGATGTCAAGCCTACAAACATACTCTTAGATGACAATTACACTGCAAAAGTGTCTGACTTTGGAGCATCGAGGTTAGTTCCCCTTGATCAAATGCAATTATCTACAATGGTTCAAGGAACTCTTGGATACTTGGACCCTGAGTACTTACAGACAAGTCAATTGACTGAGAAAAGCGACGTTTATAGCTTTGGGGTTGTCCTTGTGGAGCTGCTAACGGGAAGGAAGGCAGTCTCATTTGACAGGCCAGAGGAGGAGAGAAATCTAGCTATTTATTTTCTTTATGCGTTGAAAGAAGAACGTTTGTTTGAAGTTCTTGACCACAGTATTGTTCATGAAGGAAATACTGAGCAACTCAAAGAGGTTGCTGTTCTTGCAAAGAGGTGTTTACGAGTAAATGGGGAGGAAAGACCTAGCATGAAAGAAGTAGGAATGGAACTGGAGGGACTAAGAAAGATAGAGAAACATCCATGGGTTAACGATGAATTGAATTCTGAAGAAACTGAGTACCTGCTAGGTGACACGTCGGACTCTTATGGATTTGGAGTTGCTCATAAGACAACAGGTGAGTATGATAGCACGAGAGGGCATATTGTTCTGCCATTAGATGGTGGGAGGTGATTGCTTTGTCATTTGTGTATATGCATCTTCATTGAAAGTGTGTACTGTGACTGTGCCTGTGCCCTATCGAATGACTGGAGTGTCCAATGATATCCTATTTTGCTATACCTGACAAGCATGAAAGATGTGTAGCTGTGTAGTTATCTACTTGCATCGACTTCAAAATTTTGATTAACACTCTCTTCTCTTTATCTGTAGAATTTTTTTTCCCCCCCTTTTTCTTTGGTATGTTTGTGTGTGTTTTCTAAGTAATTGTGGAATTGTTGGGTAGATGCGTTGATATGTTATTCTTATCTGTCATTGACTCTTTGTTTTGCAAGGAAAAACACATAGTGAGTTTGGATTCTCTCAGTATGTTTAACAACTTTTTTTATGAATAACATGGTGCCATAATACTAACAAATTACAAGTTGAACAAATTATTTTGAGTTCAACAATATGGTGTTGACGTCTCGAAATAATGTGTTGATGCCAATTTATTTCAAAAGTGAACTCAATAAATCGATTCTCGATGTAATTTGTTGGATTAAGTTGTTACACGTGAATTCAAAGGTCATATCCCAAAATTATTCTTTATCATATGATGACGCACACAAACACACATCTCTTAATATATTGCTTATAGAGTGGTAGTGGTTAATTAAGTAATAACTAAAATGTGTTAGTGATACGATGAAATAAAATAGCCTAATGTGGTATGAACACAAATTAGAAGATCTATAAATGTTTAGGTAAAAAGAGAGAGACTAATTTAAATGGAAGAATTGGATAAAATCATTAAAAACGATTGTAAAAAGTCAATTATTATAAGAAAAACAGTTTGCAACAGAAAAAATAAAAAATAGTAAAATAACAAAAGATAGAAGAATATGATGGTGATGCCATTTTAGTTGTATTTAGAGTCTAATTTAAACTTGATTGGATTAGACCTAAATTTAAGCTAACTAATCCCAGAATTAGACCTGGTGAGTTGACCAATAAAATCAGACCCGTTTACCGTCCAATGACCTGGCCTCCCAACAGCCCACCAGAATGGCCTGCCAACATGGCTACCAACTCACCATCTAACGTAGCCCTATAGCTAGGTCTGGGCTTGTCAAATTTTGGAACATCAGAACCGACCCGTTAATAGGTGGACGGCCCGATGGATCTGATCCTGGGCCTCCCCCCCCCCCCCGCGGGCCCCTATTCTTCCATGGGTGTTTCTAGCACAAAGGCTCTACAAATCGCCCAAATGAATGTTTTTTTTTTAGATTGTATTTTTAATTATTCACACATGTAGATAATTGAGAGAATTATAGCTTTCCCATTTTTTTCTCTCTAGTTGCTATATCACATCGAATTTGAATAGAAAAGATCGAATTTGAATGAAAAAGATCTTGGGTTTGTAAAGATAGGTAAGCTGCGCCCAAATACTTTTTTCTTTGATATACTTTAATTATTCTAAATTCTAGAAGTAAAATGACAGTTATAAGATCAAGTTTGATTTGTCCAGACGCCATTTTCATTGTTTCTTAGTCCAACTAATTAATATGGTTCATTTGAAGACAGAAATGCTTAATATACAATTTTATATGTGCTATAGTTGATCTGTCGAGAGAAAAATTTAATGAATTGATTTACTAATAAAAACAATTTAATGAATTAATTGGAATGACACTAATATTATGTTTAAATCATAAATTTGTTTTTGCAAGACATCCTAAAATACATGTTGTATCATGTTACTTCAAGATTATCTGTTAAATTTATGTTAAAAATGTTAAATAATGTCAATTTAAAGTATTAACAAAATATCCGAAAAAGTGGTGATGAAGTGTCTAAAAAATATAGTCTATTTGATACAGGGCCGAGCCCTTCTGCTCTGGACCAATGTCCTTGATTTGGTCCACACAAATATTTTTCTTTTCCTGTTTTTTTGTCCTTTCCCTTTTATTCTTACGTGTGTGTTTCTAGCGCAAAGGCTCTCTACCAAATCGCCCCAATGAATGATTTTTTTATAGATTATTTTTAATTAGCTTTCCTATTTTTTTCTCTCTAGTTGCCGTATCATCAGACAAAGTTGCAATATCATCATCTATCTAATTTGAGATTCTACATAGCTGAGGAAGTTTCTCAAAATAGCAAAATCGACCTCCTAATGCCCGCTGCATTAAGAAGGTGCCAGAGAAATAATGTGGTAAATTCGTGTATGATATGCGAATTATATATGTACGGACGGATTTTTAAAAACAATATTTTTATTTATTGTTTAAAAATAAAAAATATGATAAAATACACACAAACTACATCTTTTAATATAGTCATTCTCTTTCACATTAACTGTACTTTCAAAATAATACATGTAGCCGTTCTAGTAGGTTATCACTCTATTTTTTTTCTTTCTAAATCTATCATCATTGTCACTCCAATGCACTCGTATATATATATTTTAAATTTTGTTAGTATCTTTATTTATTATTTATTTTTAGTTTTATTTTTTTGAAGTTTGCACCACACTCAATAGATGTTTAAGTAGAATATAAAGATATTTTCACAACTTACAAGTATCACACCTGTGTATTTATTATAAATATATATGTTATGTACTTGGGGTTATTGATTAATTATATTTGGATAGTTTATTTTCTTTTATGATTATTATAATAGTGTCCATTGGAATATATTTATTTTATTATATGTTACACATTATTTATTATCCTTACAAATATATGATGATATATAAGAAAATAATATTCGTATTCATATTTTTACGTTTCAATTTTTTTTTTTTTTACCGAATTTTTGAAATGTATTTTAAAAAAAATAATAGAATTATACTTGCACTTTTTCTTATCTATCTTTTTTTCGTACCATATTTTACTAACTATGGCATATGCCATTGAATTTTAAGTTAACAACTTATCTCTAGCTATATGAAAACCTTTTCAATTTTTTTCTTTCTTTTATTTTTTCTTATTTGATTTTGCTAGAAAAATTAAATATTAAAATTAAACTATCTCTAACAATTTAAACTTTAATAAATTATGATTAACATGATAAATAAAATCTCGCCATTACCTTGCTAATCAAAATTAAAACACACATGGCAAAGAATTCATTTGACATGGTAAGGGTGGGAAAGGTATACATGTTTCATATATTTGTATTTTTATTAGACTTTTACGAGTTGGCAGTTTTGAAACTTATCATGCAAAGCTACGAGAAGAGTGTGATTGATGTGAGTCCTACAAATGAGGTTCACTCCCATTTAACAATCTAACAGAAGTGTCACAGTCATATGAGAGGACTCGATTGGCACGTGGAATGAGATTCTTCGAGGAATATTATTAATTCAAACTAAATCGGTTCCATCGTACGAGTATTTGATAGATATATATGTTATTACATTAATAGACCTGTGGATGTGGAAATTTGGAAGGGTCGACTCCAAAGACCTGTTGAGCGTGGGCCTTGAGATAGTCCATGGCTCGTAATTGCGTATTTGTTGCGATTGTGGTGTAATGTATTTAAACGAATATCGATAAATTGATCAAATAAATTAGTTTATGAAGATATGTAACAGTATCAAATTCTTAAAAATATAAGGTTAATTATAATGACACCCCCTGAGGTTTGCTATAATGACACTCATATATAAGTTAGACGTTTTTTGAACAATGACACCCCTAGACAAAATTGGGAGCCAAACAGACCCTTAAAAGGTTTGAAAAGACAAAATTGCCCATCAATATTTAACTAATTTTAATTGTAAAATATTAAAATTTTAAAATGACACTTTTGCCCTTCTACCAATCTCTTCTAAACCCATCGATCCGGCCCTCTCTCTCTTCACCCACCGCCATCATCTCCTCAATCACAACCCCTCAACCACATCCCGCCGTCACTTCTCTTCAACCACATCCCACCGCCACTTCTCTTCAACCACAGCCACCGCCACCTTCTCTTTCCTCGCATCGGTGATTGCACAATATCACATCTCTTATCACCACCACCATGCTTGATCTGTGCAAAAATGTGCAAAAACAAACAAAGGAGCAACCCACAGATCAATCCAGATCCATTTGCATCATGAAACCGTGGTCGGAGGTTACGATGGAGGTGGTGGTGGTATCACCAGAATCAACTGAATCAGATTCATTTGATTCCTTTGTGCGATCTGAAATCTCGCTTAAATCTACTCCGGGAAGCAAAAGGCTCAGAGCACTTTGTTCTGGCCACAGATCAGTATATGTGAATCGATATATATATGTTAGGTTATATATTGTTCATATTAGATTGCGCAATCTGCAACTTGAAATCAGGAGTTTACATGCGTGCTTCTCGTTGCTCCATAAATGGATTTGCTTTAAAAGCTAAATCTATATATGTGTGTGTGTGAATTTCAACTCTCAATATTTTCTTCTTGAATGCAATGACAACTTTTCATATTTTCTTCTTAAATGCAATTATTAATGGAATTCCATGGAAGTTAGAATCATGTTCCAATCAGTGAAGCTCATACATATATGACTGAGATGTTTGGAAAAGGGAAAGACATGCAACCAAACCAGAACACCTAATTAGCTTTAGAGAGTAAGCAAAACGATTCTAATCTTGGCAATCAAAAAAATTAATAAATAAAACATTTGATTTGTAAGCATACGTGATAGTATTTTCCTTTATAATTTTTCTCAACTTTCTCGGCAACCATGTAAGGGTTTTAGAATAGAGAACATACAAAATTCACCTTGAGAAGACCTTTCGTTGTTTTGCTAATGAGATCTTTGTGGAATCCATCTCTCTTTCTCTCTATATATATATATGTCAGGTTATATATTGTTCATATTTGTATATAATGTGAGAGAGGTTATTTTGGACATTTTAAATTTATTAGAATGGGTAATTTAGTAATTTTGTGTCATTTCATAAGTCAAATGACATTTAGGTCATTTTATCACATGTCAGCCCCTCAATGGGTGTTTGTGTCAAAGGCAGCAAAGCTTAGGGAGTGTTATTGT